AGTTCCCAGGCGATGCTGATGCTGCTGGTAAGGGACCAGTTCTGAGAACCACTAGTAGAACAGTGGTTCTCAAAATTTATACGTAAGAATCACCTGGGGATCTTGTTAAAATGTAGATTCTGATTCGGTATATCTGGGGTGGATATACAGAACAAATTGGTTTGAAGCCCTGTTTTCATCTGAACAAAGGGCTCCATGGCACCCAAATTTGAAACCCAGTGCCCTGGAGGAACAGGCCGAGATGTCCCCACTGGGCAGCCTTGCAGGCACTAAGCCCAGGGCTTCTTCCTTCCACAGGCTGACCCCAGGGCTGGCTGACCCCGGGCTGGCTGACCCCAGGGCTGGCTGACTCCAGGGCTGGCTGACCCCGGGCTGGCTGATCCCAGGGCTGGCTGACCCCAGGGCTGGCTGACCGCGGGCTGGCTGGCCTCTGCTAGGCCCAGGCTTCAGGGCAGCCCCCAACTCAGGTTAGGTGCTTCGTAGGTTTTGGTTTTCAAATGTACTCACATGCACGTGATCTGTTGTTCTAGTCAAAGGTGCATAAACTATTCATATCAATCATACCTATCCAACTTAAGCAGGAGTTGGATGACCTCAGGTGATCAGTCAGTTGCGAAACTGGAGAATCACAGTCTTAAGTGAGCATTGTCTGGTTCCCTATGCACCATCCTTTTAGCCTCCGTAGTTATTAGTTGCTGTCAACTCGATCCGACTCATGGCACCCCCATGCGTGCAGAGTAGAACTGCTCCATAGGGTTTTCAAGGCTGTGGGCTTTCAGAAGCAGATCACCAGGCCTGCCTTCTGAGGTGCCTCTAGGGGGTTCAAACCACCAACCTTTCAGCTAGTAGTTGGGTGCTTAACCATTTGCACCACCCAGGGACTCCCCCTTTAGCCTCTACTCTTTATAAATCCCACTCTAGCACCTAGATGTCTATGATGTCTCAACGGATTCCTAAAACCCTCCAGAGACTCTTCCATGGAGATCTCTCCATAGTCAGAGTCAGAAGCATTTGGAGAAGTGAACATGGGACCACAGGTCATCCCAGCTGTGAATGACCCCTTCCATTGCTGTGGCCAAGGGGTGTTGGGAACCATAGTTGGCAGCCCCAAGAAATACAGGGTTGGGGCGTGGGAGGAGCTGTACCCCAGAAGAAGACTCAAGAAGAAAGGAGACAGAAAAATGCTTTGGAGATCCAGCCAACATCTAGGGTGTCCATGCAGTCCTTACACCATTTAAAACCTATCTCCTGATTAGAAAGCAGACATGTATGTCATTATATACATTTTTCTATATAAAATATAGACAAGGAAAATATACTCAAAAGGAAAACACCACCCATGTTGGCCCTGCCCAGAGATAAACACGGGGCACGTTTTGATGGATTTCCTTTCAGTCTGTTCTGTAAGTACCCACCCCACACAGTTGAAATTATGCTGTTTATACGCTCTAATGGCCTGCTTTTTCCACCTAACAGGTCACGAGTGCTTTGTCTATAAGCATTCAACATAAACATACCTTTAAGGCCGGCATTATCTTCCATCAAAGGGCAGGTTTGCATGGTGTGGGACATTTACATTTTCCCCCAATATTTCTTTTGCAAGAAATAGCATAGCTTTAATCTTCGAAGGCATTCTGCAGTATATTTCTGGACTCGATTCCTAGAAGTGGAAACCTGCTCACTATGAGCGCCTGAATTCACAATGATTAGGTGTGATGAGATGTGGTGGTTTTGCTCTTTGCACAGATGCTGTGAACTGGAACCCTCTTAGCAATATTTGCTTTTCTCCGTAGCAAATTCAGCTGGTCAGGTTTTACCTTGGAATAGCTTCCTGCAGCGAAGTTGCTGCCACTCCCTTACCTGTAATGCTTTCTGGGGTACAACGAATATTCACCAGCACTTGCTGTGTAGCCTCCACGATCACAGGCTTGGGATCAAGATGAAGGGTTTTGAGCCTGTCTGCCTGGATTTGGAAGCCCTGGTGGCACAGTGGTTAAGAGCTTGGCTGCTAACCAAAAGGTCGGCAGTTCAAATCCACCAGTTGCTGCTTGGAAACCCTATGGGGCAGTTCTACTCTGTCCTACAGGGTCGCTACGAGTCCTGGCTCTGCCACTTACTCTGTATGACCTTGGCCAAGGCACTTCCTCCCTCTGAGCCTCATTTTCCTTGTCTTGTGAGGATTGTGTGAGCTGATAAAGGCAGAACACCTAGCGTAGCGTCTGGCCCACAATAGAGGCTCAGAAAATGTTGAGCATGCGTAGTGATAGGCTTTGCAGGTGAGGAAACTGAGGCTCCTAGAGGGGAAGTGACTTGCCAAGGTCACACAGCTCCTAAGAGGCCAGTGATCAGGATCCTGGTTTGGTGAGTTGTCCCCTCTAGGGCATGGTCCCTGGTGGCTGTCAGAGTTCACATGGGCGTGGGGGACCAGGGCAGGTCTGCGGGCTGGTTTCCTTTCTGCGGTCTGTGCCAGCCCTCCCCGGGGGGGCTTGGAGGAGGAACCTGCCCCCATGCTGCGCTTGTGGCTGCACTGGGGATGGGGAGGAAGCATCTGGAGGATGTGGGGGCTCCGCATCCACTCGCTCCAGACCCCTGAGCAGCCCCCCACTGATGCCACAGGTGGGGCCAATTCAGAACTGAGCAAGTGACCCGCTCCCCTGGCCCCCACGACCTGTGAGGGGCTCGTCATCCTCTAGGGTGGCCAGCTTGCCCTGGTTTGCCCGGTTTGGGCACTGAAAATCCCTCCTCCTGGGAGCCCCCTCAGTCCCAGGCAGGCCAGGATGGTTGGTCACCCTCCCCACACCCGTGTAAACTGAGGTGCAGTGAAAACCTTATGAGCGCAAAGCTCAACCGACACCGGGCCGTTCCTGCTGCAAACTCTGCAAACTCGGAGTTTGCTTGCCCTTCCCTCCCAGACAGACAGCCACTGGCCTCGGTGGGGGTTCCTCTGAGCTGCCCTGATTTCGCTCTGACTCGGCCATCGTCATCCTCCCCAGCTCTTGGAGAACCTCCCATCTTTGGAGGCTTCTCATTTTATAGATAGAGAATTGAGGCCCAGTGGGAGAAGGCCCCCCGAGGGTCCTACAGGCCCCTGACTCCAAGGCATGTCCTCCCTTGTCCCTTGGTGCCTTGGGGACTTTGGCTGTCTGCCTGGGCACAAGGACTCTGCCCAGGAGCAGCTTCTGAACTTGAAACCTGGCCTCCATTCAGGATGCCATGGTTTTCAGGGTGAGTAACTTGAGGATGAAAGGGGAAGAAAGACCCCTCGCTTCCCCATGGGATAGGGGTGCGGGGCAGAACCCGGCAGAGGCTGGCTGCTTCCATCCCTGCTGGGGAAGAGAGGGAAGCCTGGGCTCCATGGGCTCCTGCCCCGCTCTGGGGCCTCAGTTTCCCTGTCTGTGCAGACACGGTGAGTTTGGGGCCCTCTCACTGCAGCTCCCTAAGGTGACAGAGATTCTGTCCTGGGGACGCCTACTGGGCCCTGAGTGTCATTTCTTTTTTAAAAAAACATCATCAATAAATGATAGCTTTTTAAAAAATTGTGGTGGAATATATATAATAAAAAAGTTGTCATTTTAACTGTTCTTAAGTGTACATTGATTACATTCACCCCAAACAGAAACCCAGTTCAGTACCCCTTCAGCAATAACTCCTATTCCTGCCTCCCCCAAGCCCCTGGTAACCACTAATAAACTTGTCTCTATGTCTTTGCCTGTTCTAGATATTTCACATAGCAGGATCATATCATATTTGTCCTGTGTCTGACTTGGTTCACTCAGCATAAGGTTTTTGGGGTTCATTCATGTCATAGCACAGATCAGGACTTCATTTCTCTTTATGAGAGAATACATTTCATTTTGTATTTTATTTCATTTTATTTTAAAACAACTTGTGTGCAAGGCAGGGCGTGGACCCCTCTCTGCATATGTCCTGAGCCCACTGTGTGCAAAGCCACAGACAGACCCTGGGACATGACCCCTTCCTCCACTTCCTGTCTGCGTTCAGGCCTCCCAGCCTCTGCCCATGCTGTGCTCTCCTCCTGAGCTGCTCACTGAGCTAACCCCTGTCTGTCATCTCAAGTGCCACAGCTTCTTGCAAGATTCTCCTGACAAGCCCACTTTCCCACCCTGGATAGGTTGGGGACCCCTCCCTTGCTTACCCCAGGATGACACTTATCACACTGGGTCGTATGGTCATTTACCCGCCAACCTCTCCAGATTAAGAGCTCCAAGGGGGCAAGAGCCTCCCCACCAGATTAAGAGCTGCAGGGGAGTAAGAGCCTCCCCACCAGATTAAGAGCTCCAGGAGGGCAAGACTTCCCCACCAGATTAAGAGCTCCAGGAAGGTAAGAGCCTCCCCACCAGATTAAGAGCTCCAGGAGGGCAAGACTTCCCCACCAGATTAAGAGCTCCAGGAAGGTAAGAGCCTCCCCACCAGATTAAGAGCTCCAGGAGGGCAAGAGCCTGCCCGTCAGATTAACAGCTCCAGGAAGACAAGAGCCAGGAACTGTTCACCTTTGGATCCCAGAGCACACAGCCTGGGGTGCCAGTATTTGGGAAATAGAGTGGAGAAATAAGATAACTGGGTCTCACTCTCATGGCACTTGCCATCCAGTTCCCCGGAGGGGTTCTTGGTTGCACCCAAAAAGCCCACCTGTGTATCAGGGGATATTGTTTTAATCTCAAAAGAATGATTACATCATATTTGCAAACCTCATGAAGGTCTGTGTCTTGTGTTTTCTTATCTCACCCTCTTCTTGGGCAAGAAGAAAGAACCACCTTCCTGTTTATTTGGTCACTCCCTTCCTCCCAAGGGCAGGGTCCCATCCCACCCCAATCTCCATTGCCCGTGGAGTGTTGCTGTGCCCCACCACCACCACCCCCCAGCCAAAGGGCCCCTGCCCAGAAGATTCTACATGGTCCTTGGTGTTTCCATGGTTACGGAATCTAAGAGTGGTGTCAGACCCAGCAGGCCCTCTGTCTCCTCACACCCCGCCCCCTCATCTCCATCAACATTCTCATCAAAACTGTCACAAACGAGGTGTGGGCCGTCACATGGCCCTGCCTGAGGAACCGCATTCTCGCTTCCTTCTTTCACAGACGTTGGGGGTTGGCCGGGGCTGACGCCACAGCAGGGCTACCAGAGCAGTGCACTGTGGCATGGGCTAGGTCTTTGTCACTAAAGCAGAGAAACTACCTCTCCTGGGCCCACGAGGCAGCCCTTCCATGCTCTGCTGAGTACGGTAAGTGCTGACTTGAAAAACAACAGGGTGTAGCTAGAGGGGACCCAAGGCACCCACTGGGTGGCCTTACAGCTGCTAGTAAGTCCAAAGCAAGACGACCAGGCCCTTCCATTCACTGCAGACCCAGGGACGGCAGCCCAAGACTCCACAGGGCTTAAAACGCAGACCCACTTTTTGAGGTGTCTCTTCTGGATCCTGCTCCCCTCAACTTCCAGCCCATCCTCCCTGTCAGATTTGCCAGCCTTTTGAATTCGAAAATCGGAGAAATCATGGCCGTTTCCTTAGCAATGACCCTACTCTCTCCTTTCATGGGTGGGAAACTGAGGCCCAGAGCGGCCAAGGGGTTTGCTAGGGGAAGAGCTGAGATTAAGTCTGGGGGATTCCAGAAAGGTCAAGGGGTGCAGGATCCATCTTAAAGCTGCATATGTTGCGGACTCATAAATATATCGTTCTCAAAGACGTGTCCCTCACAAATAAAACTGAGCAGATGATACTTGTCCGTAGCAGACGGTTAGAATACTAGAATTGGGATATTATTATTAGGAAAAGAGAAGATAATAATAAACATGAGAACACTCTCATAATGTTTCTTTGGGGTGCTTTCGGGGCTAAAGTCATGCTCTCCCATTCCCTTCTCACCCCTCCCCGGCCCCCGCCACCTGTATACACACACCATGGACAGGGATCAGGGCCCCTGTTGCTCAGAATTCTCTCCTTTCTTCTTCTTTGGACCTTCTTGTATTCCTTCTCGAACACCCCTGACTCCGAGCCCCTGGGGGCCAGGCTTCTCAGTGGGCAGAGGGCTCAGGAACTGGCTCCAGGCCCTTTGCCTCAGAGCAGTTCCCTCAGGGTTGCCCAGCAGGGCCACACCCTGTGTCGTGGGCGCCTTGCTCACCAAGCTTGGCCAGCAGCCAGATGAGACTGAAACCCAGACAGCTGCCCAGCCAAGCCCTTCTGGAAACCTTGGCCTGGGCCTGGGCCTTCAGAGAGGCCTGGGGAATGAGCTGAGACCCCTGGTGGGTGGACTATTACTATCTGCTGTCGAGTCAATCCCGACTTCTGGTGACCCCCTGTGTGTCAGAGTCAAACTTTGGTCCATAGGATTTTCAAATGGCTGATTTTTCTGAAGTAGATTGCCAGGCCTTTCTTCCAAGGTGCCCCTGGGTAGACTCGAACCTCCAGCTTTTCAGTTAGCAGCCAAGTGCATTAACCGTTTGTACTATCCGGGGACTCCTCTTCATCTTTTTTTTTTTTTTAATTGTCAGATATGCTTTTTGATTGTTGTAAAAATATCTATAGCACAACATTTGCCAATTTAATGCTTTCCATGTGTACAATTTAGTGACATCAGTTACATGAATCATGTTGTGCAACCGTGACCAACATCCGGTGCCAAATTTTCCATCACCATAAACAGAAACTCAAAAAAACCCAAAAAATAAAATAACCTGTTGCTGTTGAATCGATTCCAACTCATAGCGACCGTATAGGATAGAGGAGAACTGCCCCCATAGGGTTTCCAAGGAGCAGCTGGTGGATTTGAACTGCCAACCTTTTGGTTAGCAGCTGAGCTCTTAACCACTGGGCCACCAGGGCTCCAAAACAGAAACTCGTTGCTTCCTAAACAATGACTCTCCATTCCCTCTCCCTCCTGGCCCTGGTAACAGCTAATAAACTTTGGTCTCTGTATATTTGCCTGTTCTAGGTATTTCCTATAAGTGAGATCATATAGTATTTGTCCTTTTGTGATTGACTTCTTTCACTCAGCATAATGTTTTTCAAGGTCTATCCATATTGTAGCATGTATCAAGACTTCATCTCTCTTTATATCTGAGTAATACTGCATTGTATGTATATACCATATTTTGCTTATCTGTTCATTTGTTGATGGACATTTAGGTTATTTCCTCATTTTGGCTAGTGTATGTGCTTGTTGTTAGGTACCTTTGAGTCGGTTCCGACTCACAGCTACCCTATAGAACAGAGTAGAACTGCCCCATCGGGTTTCCAAGGAACGGCTGGTGGATTCGAACTGCTGACTTTTTGGTTAGCAGCCAAACGCTTAACCACTGCATCATCAGGGACAGTACTGCAGTAAACATTGATGTATATGTGTCTGTTTGCATTGCTGCTCAAACATGCTTTTTTGAAATACACATTACCTCCGGAAATCCTGATCTACGGCCAAAAGGGACCTATCCTCTCTCCTCATTCTCTCTCTTGAGAAACTCTGATTTAATCCAGTTGAGAAAACGAAGGTCCAGAAAAGTGAAGTAAATTGTTCTAGGTAGGGCTGGGACTAGGGTGAGGTGACTGCAGGAGATGTCAAGAAACTCGGTAGTCCAGATAAATAATATTTTAAAAAATCAAAATTAATGCAAAAAAAATCTGTAGTGTACAACCTATCAAATATTTGAATAAAAAGAGTAACAGTGCCGTGCTGAGCTGTACTGGGGCGTGAAGCAAAAGGAAAAATCAGTAATACCCATCCTGTATTTATGCATTGGATATGGCATCAGCTCTTAAACTGTAGGGAGCATCAGAATCCCCAGTGAACTTTGTACGGTGCGGATTCCCAAGTTATATCACTAGAGAGTCTGATGCAGTAGGTTTAGAGTGAGGCTCAGAAATCTGCATTTAAAAAAAAATTTGATTCTGCTTTAGGTGAAAGTTGACAGTGCAAATTTGTTTTTCATTAAAAAATTCATACACAAATTATTTTGTGAAATTGGTTGCAATCCCTGCAATGTGTCAGCATTCTCCCCTTTCCACCCCATGTCCTTTCATTCAGTTTTCTTGTTCCTTTCTGCCTTCTCGTTTCTGCTTTTGGGCAATCATGTACTTGATTGAACTAAGAAGCACGTTCCTTACGCGTTAGTGTTTGTTTTATAGGCCTGTCTAATCTTTGTCTGAAAGGTAGGCTTTGGGAGTGGCTTCAGTTCCGAGTTAGCAGGGTGTCCAGGGGCTATAGTCTCAGGGGCTCCTCCAGTCTCTGTCAGACCAGTAAGTCTGGTCTTTTTTTGTGAATTTGAATTTTATTCTACGTTTTTCTCCCCCTCTGCCAGGACCCTCTATTGTGATCCCTGCCATAGCAAGTCGGTTGTGGTAGCCGGGCACCGCCTATTTCTTCTGGGCTCAGGCTGGTGGACGCTGTGGTTCATGTGGTCCTTTAGTCCTTTGGGCTAATATTTTCCTTGTGTCTTTGGTTTTTTCCATTCTCCTTTGCTCCATGGCCATTCACAAGCTTTTCCTTTTTTTAATTGTTGTACTTTAAGTGAAAGTTTTCAATTCAAGTTAGTCTCTCGTACAAAAATTTCTACATACATTGTTATGTGACCCTAGTTGCTCTCCCTATACTGTGACAGCACACTCCTCCTTTCCACCCCTGATTCCCCGTGTCCATTCAACCAGCTCCTGACCCTCTCTGCCTTCTCATCTCACCTCCGGACAGAAGCTGCCCATTTAGTCTCATGTATCTACTTGAGCTAAGAAGCACACTCTTCACAAGTATCATTTGATGTCCCACAATCCAGTCCAATCTTTGTCTGAAGAGTTGGCCTCGGGAATGGTTTTAGTTCTGGGCTAATAGAGAATCCAGGAGCCATGCTTTCTGGGGTTCCTCCAGTCTCAGACCATTAAGTCTGGTCTTTTTACTAGAATTTGAGTTGTGCACCCCGCTTTTCTCCCTCTCCGTCAGGGACTCTCTGTTGTGTTCCCTGTCAGGGCGGTCATTGGTGGTAGCCAGGCACCATCTGGTTCTTCTGGTCTCAGGCTGATGAAGTCTATGGTTTATGTGGCCCTTTCTGTCTCTTGGGCTACTACTTTCCTTGTGTCTTTGGTGTTCTTCATTCTCCTTTACTCCAGGTGGTTGGGACAAATTGATGCATTTTAGATGGCCGCTCGCTAGCTTTTAAGACCCCAGACGCCTCTCACCAAAGTAGGATGCAGAACATTTTCTTAATAAACTTTGTTATGCCAGTTGACCTAGATGTCCCCTGAAAGCATGGTCCCTAGACCCCCACCCCTGCTACTCTGTCCCTCGAAGTGTTTGGTTGTATTCAGGAAACTTCTTAGCTTTGGTTTAATCCAGTTCACAAGCTTTTAAGACCCCAGATGCTACTTACCAAAGTAGGATGTAGAATACTTTCTTTATGAACTATCTTATGCAAATTAACTTAGATATCTTCCGAGACCAAGGTCCCTAGCCCTCAGCCCCAGTAACTCAATCCCTCACGGTGTTTAGATGTGTCTAGGAAGCTTCTATGACTTTGCCTTGGTCAAGTTGTGCTGACTTCCCTATATTGTGTGTTGTCTTTCACTTCACCAAAGTTGACACTTGTCTGCTATCTAGCTAGTGATTTTCCCTCCCTATCCTTCCCCTCTCTCGTAACTGTCAAAGTTTGTTTTTTCCTGTGTGTAAACCTTCCTGAGTTTTCATAACAGTGGTCTCATACAATATTTGTTCTTTTGTGATTGACTTATTTCACTCAGCATAATGCCCTCCAGATTCATCCATGTTGAGAGATGTTATGAGATTCGTCACTGTTCTTTATCATTGCATAGTATTTCATTATGTGTAGGTAGCATAGTTTGTTTATCCGTTCATCTGCTGATGGGCACTTAGGTTGTTTTCATCTTTTTGCTATTGTGAATAATGCCACGACGAACATGGGTGTGCATATGTTTATTTGTGTGACGGCTCTTGTTTCTCTAGGGTATATTCCTAGGAGTGGGATCGCTGGATCATATGATATTTCTATTTCTAGTTTTTTAAGAAGGTGCCATATCGTTTTCCATAGTGGTTGTACCATTTTGCATTCCCACCAACGGTGCATAGGAGTTCCAATCTGCCCACAGCCTCTCCAACATTTGTTATTTTCTGTTTTTTTTTTTTTAGTGCCAGTAATGTGAGGGTGAGATGGTATCTCATTGTGGTTTTGATTCGCGTTTCTCTAACGGCTAGTGACCCCAAGTATTTCGTCATGTGTATGTTAGCCACCCAAATGTCTTCTTTGGGGAAGTGTCTGTTCATATCCTTTGCCCATTTTTTAATTGGATTATTTGTCTTTTTGTTGTTGAGGTGTTCAAGTATTTTGTAAATTTTAGACAATAGACCTTTCTTGGATATGCTGTAGCCAAAAATTTTTTCCCAGTCGATAGGTTCTCTTTTTACTCTTTGGGTGAAATCTTTTGATGAGCCTATAAGTGTTTAATTTTTAGGAGCTCCCGGTTGTCTAGTTTCTTTTCTGGTGATTGCGGATCGTTAGTTATGCTTTGTATCCTATTTATGCCACGTATTAGGGCCCATGGCATTGTCCCTATTTTTTCTTCCATGATCTTTACCATTTTACCTTTTATATTGGGGTCTTTGATCTATTTTGAATTAGTTTTTGTGTATGGTATGACGTATGAGTTCCTCCCCGTCTTTAACATGAGGTTAACTATAGTACCCATCCTTTCAAGGAGGTGATGGGGATCGGATGAATCAGTAATACATGTATAGCTCTTAGAAAGTGTCTGTCACATTATACCCTCTCGATAAATGAGATTTATGTCACAGAGGAAGCTGCAGCTGTGGGTGGAGAACAGGGTTTGGAATGGAGACAGGTTTATAGGGTCCTTGCCTCGGTCCTCTCTAGCCTGACAAAGTCAGAGGTGTGTCAAAGCCTGCCCCAGGCTTGTGAATTTTTCAGGGACATGGTGGGAATTACCAGGGAGCCCTCTGCCTTAAGACCAGCAAAACCAAACCCGTTGCTGTCGAGTCAATTCCGACTCATGGTGACCTCATGTTTTAGTGTAGAACTGCTCCACAGGTTTTCCTTGGCTATAAACTTTATGAAGTCCCTGGGTGTTGCAAATAGTTAAGTGCTTGACTGCTAACCAAAAAGTTGGCTGTTCGAAACCAGCCGGAGGCACCCGGAAGACAGACCTGGCAATCTACTTCCAAAAAACCAGCAACGGAAAACTCATGGAGCACAGTTCTACCCTGACACACACGGGGTAGCCATGGGTCAGAATTGACTTGATAGCAAATGGTTTGACTTTTTAAAAAAAATCTATGGAAGAAAATCACCAGGCCTTTCTTCTGCAGGACCACTGGGTGGGTTCAAACTGCCTAGCTTTAAGATAGTAGTCGAGTGCAAACCGTTCGTGCCACCCAGGAACCTCTCCGTCTGCCCTAAATGCATAATAGTAATAATAATTACAACAGCTGGCATTTATCGAGCACTCCCTATGCAGTAAGCTCTCTACATGGACTATCTCACTTCAGCCCACAACAGCTCCACGAAGTGTAGGTGTGCTGCTGTCCTTGTATTCCAGATGAGGAACTGGGCTCAGAGAGGTGAGCTGAATCACCCAAGGTCATACAGCTTGTGAGTGATGGAGTTGAGATTTGATCCTGGTTTGATGTGACTCCTGAGTCCGGGCAGGGGCCTGGCCTGGCCACAGGACGTAGGCCTGCAGTGGGCTGGGGAGCATCTCCTGGACTGTCAGTTTGACCTACTGTTGAGATGGGACCCTCCACCTTCTCTTGGGCAGCCTCTTAACTCAAATCTAAGATTCCAGGATCTAGAACTCTGGGACTCCCACGTTCCAAGATCCCAAATGGAAGGTTCCAAGCTTCTCAGAGTCCTCTGGGTGTTTTTCCTGAGCAGCCCGGGGCGCCGTGCATGGCTGGGTCTCGGGGCTGGGGTGTGTGTCCTCCCTCACAGTCTGGGTGGGGCTGGGGTAGAAGCAGCCTAGTTTTAGGGTGTAAGACAGGAAGCAGGGCAGTCTCTGACCGACTTGTCAGTCAGCAGCAAGACAAATAAGATGTGGTGGCTTTTTACCACTCTCTCCAGAGCCCTGCCCTGGCCTCACTCCTGCAGTAAGCGATGGTTTCCCGTCCTCTGGGGAGAGGACAGGTGGGGCCTTGAGGAAGTGACTTCTCGGCTCTGAGCCTTGCTTTCCTCATCTGTATAATGGGGATCATAATAACCAAAAAATTCCAACTCGTGGTGACCCCACGTGTGTCAGAGTAGAGGGGCTTCACAATAAATTATTTTCATTATATTATGATAAAAACACCACCACCACCAAACCGGTTGCCATGGAGTCAGTTCCGACTCATGGTGACCCCATGTGTCACAGAGTAAAACTATGCTCCGTAGGGTTTTCTCGGCTATAATGATACATTTATTTTATTTTAATAAATAATAAAAGAGCCGTTATCCTACCTGCCATACATAGTGAGCTAAGTCCTCTCCTCACTACCTGGCGGTCTCTGTGGAGCTACAGAACCCCTGGGACCTGCCTTCCTTTCTACCGAGTGGCCTGGGAGCCTGCCCTGCGAGGCCTGGCACCAGGCTGGCTGTGTCCACAGCCCTTGGACAGGCAGGGACCAGGCCAGGGAGATCAACCGCCCTTGCTTGCCCGGGACTGAGGGTTTTGCCAGGATGTGGGATATTCAGGGCCAAAACCAGGAGTGTCCCAGGCAAACTGGAATGAGCTGGTCACCCTAGACCAGGCCCAGGCGGGAAGATTTGGGTATCCTAGTGGTCCTCAGGAAACCTGGTGGCATAGTGGTTAAGACCTACGGCTGCTAACCAGAAGGTCAGCAGTTCAAATCCACCAGGAGCTCCTTGGAAACTCTATGAGGCAGTTGTACTCTGCCCTGTAGGGTTGCTATGAGTTGGAATTGATTCTACAGCAATGGGTTTTGTTTGGTTTGGTTTAGTGGCCCTCAGAAATTTCTGGATGGTGCAGTTTGCATTCGAACCCACCCAGGGCACTGCAGAAGAAAGGCCTGTGAATCGCCTACCTTTAAAATTACATCCAAGAAAACTCTATGGAGCATTCTACTCTGTTACATGTGATGTTGCCATGAGTCGGAATTGACTTGACGGCAACGGGTGTTTAGTGGGCCCCATCTCGTCTCTGCACCCCACAGGACGCTGTTGCTTCCCTAACTGCCCCACGGGGTATGTCGGGAGGTTGCTTTCTCCGTATCCCCCCTGAGTTCCATGCCTTCATTTCCTCTGCCCCTCTGTCTGCAACCTGAAGAGGGCACGCCAAGTAAAGTACCCCCACCCTCCACTGGGTGCCATTTACTCCTCATGTAACATCTCATTTAATCCTCACAACCTTTCTTGGAAGCAATATTGCCCCATTTTACAGATGAGGAAACTGAGGCTCAGAGACGGCAAAGCGACCGCTCAGGGTCACACAGCTGCTACCTGGGGCTGAATGTGGGAATCAAGCCCGTAGTCTCTCCTCCACTCCAGGCAGTCTTTGTGCAGGGCTTGTAAAGATGGATGTAAGGAAGGGGGTGGGGACAGCCGAGGCTGAGGGTGAGGGCCCTCCATGCTATCCTCCTGCACCCAGGCTGCAGAAGGCTGGGCCCTGACTCGCCGAGTCGCCTCCCCCCACCAGAAACTGGCCAGCGGGCCTTCGGTTTTTGCCGCTTCCCTCTCGGCTTCCAGGAAGTGGCTGAGGGCTCTGCCTTCCAGGAACCAAGAGCCACCCAAGTGGGGGATGGCAGCTGCGAGTCTTGCTATAATTATGAAATGATGTCTCTGAGATGGCGGCTTCTTCCGAAGGTCCCCACCCCCAGGAAAGTGACGTGAAACTTGGGTCATCCCTCTTCCTCCCAAACAGGAAGTCACCCCATGTGCAAAGAAACTCTGCTGTCCCCAAGGCAGGCTGGGAGGCAAAATTGGGAGTGTATGTATGTGTGTGACCCATTGATTAAGCCCTTACTGCGACCCTGGAAGAAGGTCCCTGGGTGGCCTGGCCTGTTTATGCTCAACTGCTGACCTAAAGGTTGGTGATCTGAATCCATCCACCCAGAGGCACCACGAAAGAAAGGGCTGGAGGTGATCTGCTTCTGTAAAGATTCCTGTTGCCGCCGAGTTGTTTCCGGCTCATAGTGACCCTTTGGGACAGAGTAGAGCTGCCCCATAGGGTTTCCAAAGCTATAATCTTTTATGGAGTCACATCTTTCTCCCGCAGAGCGGCTAGTGGGTTCGAACCACCAACTTTTAGTTAGCAGCCAGTCAGTTAGCAGCCGAGCACTTAACCACTGCGCCACCAGGGCTCCTATCATAGGATTAAAAAAAAAGAAAACCCATTGCCATCGAGTCAATTCTCACTCATAAAGACCCTATAGGACGGACTGGAACTGCCCATGGGTTTTTTAAGGAGCAGCTGATGGCTTTGAACTGCAGACGCTCTGGTTAGCAGCCGAGCTCTTAACCATGGCGCCAACCCTATGGAACAGATCTATATGAGTTAGAATCGACTTGATGGCAAACGAGTTTGTTTTTCATTTTGGTTTTGTAGGCCTGGAACTTCTGAATCCATAACCTCATTGCATTCTCTCAACAGCTCCACAAGATAGGAGGTGGTGGTAGCATTAGTTGCCTTCGAGTCAACTCCAGCTCATGGTGACCTTATGTGTAAGGGAACGAAACGCTGCCCGGTCCTACGCCATCTTCATGATCGTTGGTATATTTGAGTCCATTGTTGTGACTATTGTGTTAATCTATCTTATTGAGGGTGTCATGGATTGAATTACGTCCCCCAGAAAATGTGTGTATCAGTTTGGCTGGGCCATGATTCCTGGTACTGTTTGGTTGTCCTCCGTTTTGTGATTGCAAGTTTATGTTAAAGAGGATTAGGGTGGGATTGTAATACCCTTACTAAGGTCACATCCCTGATCCACTGTAAAGGGAGTTGTCCTGGGGTGTGGCCTGCACCACCTTTTATCTAAAAAGAGATAAAAGGAAAGGGAAGCAAGCAGAGAGTTGGGGACCTCATACCACCAAGAAAGCAGTGCCGGGAGCAGAGCGCTTCCTTTGGACCCGGGTTCCCTGCGCAGAGAAGCGCCTAGTCTAGGGGAAGACTGATGAGAAGGCCGACAGAGAAAGCCTTCTCCTGGAGGTGATGCCCTGAATTTGGACTTTTAGCTTAGTTTACTGTGAGGAAATAAATTTCTCTTTGTTAAAGCCATCCACTTGTGGTATTTCTGCTATGCAGCACTGGATGACTAAGACAGAGGGTTTCCCTCATTTTCATTGCCCTCTACTTTAGGATTGCTTGTCATCCCCATTTTACAGTTGAGAAAACTAAGGCTCAGAGAGGCAAGCAGTTGTCTCAAGGTCACACAGCTTGTAAAGGACAAGGCTGGCACTCTAGCATGATTTTGTGTGACCCCAGAGCCTGTGTCCGCAATCCTATGCCCTGCCTGGCACCTGGTAAACATTGGCATGGAGCTGCCTCTTTCTGAGTGATGTGGCTTTCATGGCCTGCCTTAGTTCTCTAATGCTGCTATAACAGAAATACCACAAGTGGATGCTTCAACAAAGAGAAATTTATTCTCTCACAGTCTAGGAGGCTAGAATTCCGAAGTCAGGGTACCAGCTATAGGGGAAGGCTTCCTCTGTGTCAGCTCTGGGGGAAGGTCCTTGTCATCAATCTTTCCCTTGTCTAGGAACTTCTCAGCACAGGAATCCTGGGTCCAAAGGACATGCTATTTTCCTGGCTCTTGTTTCTTGGTGGTATGAGGTCCCCCGTCTCTCTGCTTGCATCTGTCTTTTATATCTGAAAAGAGATTGACTTAAGACACAACCTTCTCTTGTAGCTCGAGTTCTGCCTCATTAACATAACTGCCTGTAATCCTGCCTGATTAACATCATAGAGGTAGGATTTACAACACAGAGGAAAACCACATCAGATCACAAAATGGTGGACAACCACACAATACTGGCAATCATGGCCTAGCCAAGTTGACACATATTTTTGGAGGACACAATTCAATCCATAACACGGCCCTTCTTGTTCTTATTCTGCTCCACCCCCATCTAGGCCCCCAACCCCAGCCACAGATGGCTTTAATAATGCTAATAAATAATAATAATAGCTGCTATTTGCTGGAAGCCTACAGTGCAGCAGACACATGGCTGGGTGCTGGGTGCTTGGGTGGGGAGGATGCCAAAAGCCACGTGCTCACTGCAGACACACAACCAACCATCAAGGGTGGCGGTCGAGGGTGTTGGGTGGGCCCAGAGGTGAAGCTAGCCTGATGCCTTCTGTCCCTGTTCCCCCCCCCACCCCCAGGTGCCATGCCTCTGCAACTCCTCCTGTTGCTGACCCTCCTGGGCTCTGGAAGCAACCTCCAGCTGCCAGTGACCCAGAAGGACGGAACCAGGGAAGCCCCAGGCCAGCTGCTTGCCCAGGGCCAGAGACAGGTGAACACGAGCGGGTACCCAGACTTCTTTGGGGAATATGACTACGAGTACATAGGCACGGACTCTCCAGAAAAGCCTGAACATAGTCTCAGAGCTGTGACTGTGAGCACCGAGCCTCCGTTTTTGATGGAGACATTGGGGCAGAGAGGCCCCGTGGGGCCTGGAACCCCTGAGCCAGCCACTGTGGAACCTGTCACGGTGCAGCCTGCCACAAGAGACTCTGCTGGCCTAGGTTCAAGAGAGGCAGCAGCGGGAGATCTGAGCACAGAGCTGGCCACGCAGGGGAGTCCCAAAGCACAGGACCCTCTGAGCACAGGACTGGCCACTGCAATCCCTTCCATCCCAAAAACTACATCCATGGAGCTGACCACCATGGAAGCCCTGTCCATGGGGCCCACAGCCAGGGAAGCACTAACCACAGAGCCGGCTACCACAGGCGCCCTCTCCAAGGAACCCACTGCCACAGTAGCTCTGTCCATGGAGCCAGCCACCGCAGAGGCCCTGTCCACGGGGCCCACAGCCAGGGAAGCACTAACCACAGAGCCGGCTACCACAGGAGCCCTCTCCAAGGAACCCACTGCCACAGTAGCTCTGTCCATGGAGCCAGCCACCACAGAAGCCCTGTCCATGGGGACCACAGCCACAGAGGCACTGTCCATACTGTTCATAGGGCCTGCAGCCACGGAAGCCCTGACCACAGAGCCGGCTGCCACGGGAGCCCTCTCCAAGGAACCCACTGCCACAGTAGCTCTGTCCATGGAGCCAGCCACCACAGAAGCCCTGTCCATGGGGACCACAGCCACAGAGGCACTGTCCATACTGTTCATAGGGCCTGCAGCCACGGAAGCCCTGACCACAGAGCCGGCTGCCACGGGAGCCCTCTCCAAGGAACCCACTGCCACAGTAGCTCTGTCCATGGAGCCTGCAGCCACAGAAGCCCTGTCCATGGGGACCACAGCCACAGAGGCACTGTCCATACTGTTCATAAGGCCTGCAGCCACGGAAGCCCTGTCCACGGAGCCTGCAGCCACAGAAGCCCCGACCACAGAATCTGCTACCACAAGGGGTCCAACAATGTCCTTTCTTTTGTCCTCTGATCCTCAAAGCAACATCACTGTGGCAGTCAACAAGCCGTTTGATGTCAGCACCAAGCAATGGAAGAACGTGCAGGAACTGTCCCCCAGTAGCTCCGTGACCCACAGCCCCACAAGAGGCCAAGACTACAACCACGTGAAGCAGTGCCTGCTGGCGATCCTCATCCTGGCCCTGGTGGCCACCATCTTCCTCGTGTGCACCGTGGTGCTGGCCATCCGCCTCTCGCGCAAAAACCACACGTACCCTGTGCGCAGCTACTCCCCCTCTGAGATGGTCTGCATCTCGTCCCTGCTGCCTGACGGGGGCGAGGGGCCCAACCCTGCTGCAGCCAACGGGGGTCTACCCAACGCCAAGACCCAAGATCCAAAGCCAGAGCCCGGGGAGTCTCGTGACGCGGACGACCACACCTTGCACAGCTTCCTCCCGTAGCCCTGAGCGTCCAGTAGCAGGACCTGGCCTGCCACATCCCTCTGCCGCCCACTGGGCGCCACCCAGACCCCAGACTTCTCTTCTACTGGTCTGGCCTTCTTGGAGCCACCTGGGGCTGGGGGCCTTCTGAGAAGCTGCACTGGCAGTCCCATGCGGGGACTATGAGCAGCCAGGCCCCTGCGGCCAAGCAAGACCTGGAAGCAAACCTCCTCCTCTAGCTCGGCTGCCTCTGCACAGAGAGAGCCTCTCCACCTCCCTACCTGCATTGTCTGGCCCCTCTAACACCTCCTACCAGCTGCTCTCTTTCCTCCTCCTCACGCACCCAGAAGACTCAGAAATCCCCCCAACCCCACCACCATTTTGCTTTTGGTTACCATGGTCACCAAACAGGAAAGGCGCATTTGGGGGGGTGGGTACTAAGGAGTGACGGCTTCCTGAGCCCATGTCCTGTTGCTTCCCCAATTTGGGGCAGTTTTGTTTTCTTGGGCACTTTTCCAGGGAATCCAGGGCGAGTTCTTGGCCTCTGAGGGCCAGGGTGGGCTAGAACTTTCTTTGGGATTGTATGGACCAATGAGTAACACCTGGTGACAGAATAATCCCCATCCTGCCCTCTCTAGCCTTCCCTGTGGCCACGTTTCAGGATGAGGTCTGACTTACTGAGGTATCCCACCACCCAGCCCAGGGCCTGGTATAGCGCAGGCACTCAATAAATATCTGATGAACACTGATGGCTGAATCCTTCAAGGTAGGAAGGCTGCCTCCTTTAGGCAGCCTTCCCCGAATTCTCCATTCCTCAGGGAGGAGTTGATCCTGAGCTGTTTGCCTCAGCCTTCACCCCCTCAGGAAGCCCCCAGACCTTTAGGCTGACTTTAGTCTTGCCTTGTCCATGATGAGGGCATCTTGGGGGCTGGGGTTGATCTCAGGCTGGGGGTAGTGGGGAGGAAGGGCTGGCCCCTAGACCTTGTATTCAACTTCTCCCATGACCCAGTCCTGGTCTACAGAGTTTGGTTCCTCTCAAATTTCAGTGAACAACCCTTTTAAACATCAGTACTCTCCTCCCTAGAAGCCCACCCTAACCTCTCTAATTCATACCCCCCAACACCCAACAGCAACTCCTCACCCTAGCAAGGGCCAAAGCTTTTGCGCAACTTACAGGAGTAATGAACCAATAACCAGTTGCCATCTAGTCGACTCCGACTCACAGTGACCCCATGTGTGTCAGAGTAGAACTGTGCTCCATAGGATTTTCGGTGGCTGATTTTTTGGAAGATTGCTAGGCCTTTCTTTTGAGGTGCTTCTGGGTGGACTCGAACCACCCTTTCCTTTAGCAGCCGAGTGCATTAAATGCCTGTCATTTAAAGTTTGGGGTTAGCAACCTTTTTTCTTAAAGGGCTAGATAGTCAAAGGTTTAAACAGTTTTCACTCAACTATTAACCTAAAGGTTGGCGATTTCAACCCACCCAGCAGCACTGCAGAAGAAAGCCTTGGTGAACTGCTTCTGTAAAGGCTACAGCCAAGAAAACCCTATGGAGCCATTCTATCCTGTAAGGGGTTTGGTTTTTCGGTGTTATGGGCCACATGGTGTCTGTTGCAACCACTCAGCTCTGCCACTGTAGTGCAAGAGCAACCATAGACAGTACCTAAATGAATGGGTGTGGCTGTGTTCCAATAAAACTTTATTGACAAGGAGACAGTGGGTCAAATTAGTTCTAATTTTGCAGATTCCTGATTTGAGTATAGGGTGACCAGCTGTCCGGTTTGGTTAGGATTTTCCTGGGTTTAACACTGTCCCTTATCCCAGCTAACTCCTCACTGTAGGGCAAACCAGGAAGGCTGGCCACCTGATTTAAGTGACACTGACCCGAGAGTGCATATATTACCTCACTCACAACACACATCGACCCTATGAGGTAGGTGCTGCCATTACTCCCATTTGGCAGTTCAGAAAATCGAGACTGAGAGAGGCAAAGCAACCAGCCCATGGTAAGTGGCAGAGCCGGGATTCAAACTCTTGATCTTTTGTCTCCAAATACCTTCTAGTCATTTTCATACAGGAAGAAGGAGAAGAGCCAAACCTGTTGCCGTCGAGCCAATTCCGACTCATAGCGACCCTATAGCACAGAGTAGAACTGCTCCATAGGATTTCCAAGGCTGTAATCTTTACAGAAGCAGACTGCCACATTTTTCTCCCACAGAGTGACTGATGCGTTTGAACTGCCAACCTTTCGGTTAGCAGCCAAGTACTTAACCACTACACCACCAAGCTCCTTAGGAGAAAGGAAACTGCTGCTTAAAACAGAATTGTCCTGTCTTGTAGGAGAGGAATAGAATTCATCTTCGGAGATTTTTTTCTTTCCCTTCTAGAAAAACACTTCCAGCGTCCTCTTTGGGAGTGAAAGGTGAGGACCCCACTCTATAACCTGCAAAGACAGAGTTGGAAGAGAGGGTGAGTCTGGGAGGTGTTGGCTGCAGGTCAGGAGAGAGTGGCTGGGGGAGAGCAGGAGGGACTTAGGGCAAAGGGGAGAACTGGCAGGCAGCAGGGGCCTGAGGGGACAGAGCAGGTGAGGAATGTGGAAATAGCTGATAAATTTCTGGAAACGGTATTTAGGGGGCTTTGCTGGGGGAGGGGTTGGTGGGAGAGGGGTGCAGGTGTCTGCCGTAGGCTGGGGCAACCAACCCTGGAGAAGGCAGGTTAATGGGTTAGGAGGAACGTGGGTCGCTTCCCCTTTGGGAGGGGACAGGAAAATCAGGAAGGGTGAGCTGAAGGGCTCCACAGCATGGGGCCGGGGATCCAAAGGCTTAAGGACTTGGGAACACTGGAGTGGTTCCCCAGGGGTCTTGTCACCCCGTCCTTCTGTGCAGGGAGCAGTTTCTCTCCCTTCCCCAAGGCTCCCGGAGTGTCCCCTACCTGAGGACGCTGTAGGACCCCACGGGCCTGGTTTTCCATGTGTCTTCTTGGGGGAGGTCCCCTTTCCAGCCCTCTCAGGGCTCAGAGTTCAGTTCGGCATAGCTGAGGATGATGGCACAAGAAGCAATGGTGGCGCAACGGTTAAGTACTCGGCTGCTAGCCAGAAAGTTGGCGGTTTGAACCCACCCACCCGCTTCACGGGAGAAAGACCTGGTGATCTGCTCCTGTATCGATTACAGCCTAGGAAATCCCACGGGGCAGTTCTACACTGTCACATTGGGTCCCTGTGAATCAGATCTCGACTGCACACTGCAACGAAGATGGGTGCTTGAAACAGCCACCAGGGGGCGCCTGCCGCCAGCTCTTCGAGCCATTGGAAGCCTGTAGCTTCCCGGTGTCCAGTCTTTCAGGCTGAAGGAGGAGGGATCCTTCAGCCCGGAAACCAGTTGCTGTCTGAGTCAAGGCAACTCATGGAGTCCTGTGTGTCAGAGTACAGCTGTGCTCCATAAGGTTTTCAATGGCTAATTTCTTGGAAGTAGATCGCCAGGTCTTTCTTCCAAGGAACCCCTGGTGGACCCGAATCTCTAACCTTTTGTTTAGCAGCCACCCAGGAACAGCTCTAAATCCAGTAAGTGTTCAACAACTGGTTCCCTGGGGGAAAAAGGTACTGATTTTTAACACTTGCCAATTTCCCCAGTGTAAATACTCTCATGGCTACTTTTGAGCTACCAACGTGATATAGCAAACTATTATGCAGTAGATGTAAATAACTGCAAGAGCATAGATAAAATAAAATATTGTAAAATAATTAAGAAATGATGAGTTTTAAATATTGATAACCTTAGTCTTTATAGTGTAGTATAATGTAATGCCATCTTAGATTAATTATCATTGTATTGTATATATCATATCATATTATACTATGGAGCGTAGTGGTTAAGAGCTTGGCTGCTAACCAAAAGGTCAACAGTTCGAATCCACCAGCTGCTCCTTGGAAACCCTATGGAGCAGGCTTACTCTGTCTTATTGGGTCAATAGAGTCTGAATCAAGTCGACAGCAATGGGTATACTATACTATACTATGCTACAGTCTACGTTATATTGCTGCTGTTAGGCGCCGTCGAGTCAGTTCCAACTCATAGTGACCCTGTGTACAACAGAACGAAACACTGCCTGGTCCTGCACCATCCTCACAATCGTTGTTATGCTTGAGCCCGTTGTTGCAACCACTGTGTCAGTCCATCTCGTTGAGGGTCTTCCTCTTTTTCACTGACCCTCTACTTTACCAAGCACCAGGGACTGGATCCTCCTGATAACATGTCCAAAGTATGAGACAAAGTCTCCCCATCCTCCCTTCTAAGAAACGCTCTGGCTGTACTTCTTCTGAGACAGATTTTTTTGTTCATTCTGGCAGTCCGTGGTATATTCAATATTCTCCACCAACACCACAATTCAAAGGCATCAATTCTTCTTCTGTCTTTCTTATTCACTGTCCAGCTTTTGCATGCATATGAAGTGATTGAAAATACAATGGCTTGGGTCAGGCGCACTTTAGTCTTCAAAGTGACTTCTTTGCTTTTGAACACTTTAAAGAGGTCTTCTGCAGCAGATTTACCCAATGCAATCTGTTGTTGGATTTCTTGACTGCTGCTTACATGGGTGTCGATTGTAGATCCAAGTAAAATGAAATCCTTGACAACTTCAATCGTTTCTCTGTTTATCATGATGTTGCTTATTGGTCCAGTGGTGAGGATTTGTGTTTTCTTTACGTTGAGATGTGGTCCATACTGAAGGCTGTAGTCTCTGATCTTCATCAGTAAGTGCTTCAAGTCCTCTTCACTTTCAGCAAGCAAGGTTGTGTCACCTGCATAATGCAGGTTGTTAATGGGTCTTCCACCAATCCTGATATCACATTCTTCTTGATATAGTCCAGCCTCTCGAATTATTTGCTCAGCATACAGACTGAATAAGTATGGTGAAAGGACACAACCCTGATGCACACCTTTCCTGATTTTGAACCACGCAGTATCCCCTTGTTCTTTTTGAACGATTGCCTGTTGGTCTATGTACAGGTTCCACACGAGCATAACTAAGGGGTCTGTAATTCCCATTCTTCAAAATGTTATCCATAATTTGTTATGATTCACACAGTTAAATGCCTTTGCATAGTCAATAAAACACAGGTGAACATCTTTCTGGTATACTCTGCTTTCAGCCAAGATCCATCTGACATCAGCAATGATATTCCTTGTTCCATGTACTCTACTGAATCCAGCTTGAATTTCTGGCAGTTCCCTGTCGATGTACTACTGCAACCGTTTTTGAATTATCTTCAGGAAAATTTTACTTGCATCTGATATTAATGATATTGTTCAATAATTGCTGCATTCTGTTGGTTCACCTTTCTTTGGAATGAGCACAAATACGGATCTCTTCCAGTCAGTTGGCCAGGAAGCTATCTTCCAAATTTCTTGGCTCCCTTCCTTGTAGGTGTGTGGATATTGTCCTGTTACTGACAGTGTTGTGCAGAGCCCTAGTGGCTCAGTGGTTAAGAGCTTGGCTGCTAACCAAAAGATTGGCAGTTCAAATCCACCACTGCTCCTTGGAAATCCTATGGGGCAGTTCTACCCTGTCCTGTAGGGTTACTATGAGTCGAAATTGACTCGATGGCAATAGGTTTTTTGTTTTTTTTTTTGGACAGTGTCGGACTTCAGGATAGGTCTTAAAATGTTCTTTTTGACAATGAATGTTATGCCATTCCTGTTCAATTTGTCATTTCCGGCTTAGTAGACCATATGACTGATTCAAAGTGGCCAATACCAGTCCATTTCAGCTCACTAAAGCCTAGCATATCGATCTTTATGCGTTCCATTTTATTTTTGACCATTTCCAATTTTCCTAGATTCATACTTCATACATTCTACATTCTGATTATTAATGGATGTTTGTAGCTGTTTCTTCTCATTTTGAGTCATGTCACATCAGCAAATGAAGGTCCCGAAAGCTTGACTCCATCCACATCCTTAAGGTTGACCATTTTGAGGAGGCAGATCTTCCCCAGTCGTATTTTGAGGGCCTTCTACCCTGAGGGGCTCAACTTCTGGCACTATATCAGACAATGTTCTGCTGCTATTCATAAGGTTTTCACTGTCCAATTTTTTCCGAAGTAGACCACCAGGTCTGGAAGCTCTGCGGAAACCTGTCCACCATGGGTGACCCTGCTGGTATTTGAAATACCGTGGCATAGCTTCCAGCATCACAGAGACACATAAGCTACCAAAGTACGACAAACTGACAGATGCATGATGGTATATTATATTACATTACATTAGTATATTATACTATTTATTACATACCAGACTCACAGAGTTCTGAAAACTTAACAATGGGCTTTCATGAGCCGATACAGGCACACCACTGAGCCTTCCCTTCAGCCTGGAACACCACCAGCCTAAATCACTCCCTTCGCCCATTCAGCAAACATTTCCTGAGCACACACACCTGCATTATCTCTGAATCTCCCCATGTGAATTAAATTCTCCCCATTTTACAGAAAAGGAAACTGAGGCTCAGGGAGGGGAAGTCATCTGCCCCAGGTTGCGCATGAGGATCTGGGATTCGAACACAGGCCTGAGTCAGAAAGTCACACTCTTACCACTATGTCACATGCCTTTGAGAAGATCTCAGCGGGGTTCTTGGGGAATCCCATGCTCCAAACTTTCACCCCTGCTGACCTGCCCTGGCGCCTGGAAGTCCCCCATTAGTCACTCTCCTGGGAGCTGAGGAACGGGATAGCATTGTTACTTGGAAGGGTGACATGTCCGCTCACCGCAGAGTAGACCCCAGCAGCCTTCTTGCAGAGAGCACATTGTAACAAAGCTGGGGCCCAGGACAAAGAGGGATAGCTGGAGGCAAGGAGCTGGCATTTACTGAGTACTTACTGCATGCCCCGCCCCATGCAAAAAACACTATTTATAGACCTGATCTCATTTAAGCCTCACAGCAACCCCATGAGATGGGTGCGATTATTGTACCATTTTACTGCTGAGAAAACCGAGGCTCAGAGAGCTGACCACTTGCCCCAGGTTGCACTGCTAAGAAACCAGACTGCTGACTTCAGCTGTGCTGGCAGGGAAGGAAGGAGTGTAGACAGGAAGTAGGGGGAACTGTGTGCTAAGTTTACTTACAGGTCACTGTCTCTTACAAGCTGGGGGTGCCACCCCTGCGGGTAGCTCCTCTAGCAGCGGATCTGGGGGGGCT